TAAATTTAAAAAGCATTTGTTTTAAGCTCTCAGTTAATGAAGACAGACCACCTTATGATTAATAGGCTTTGAAAGCTCGAAATGAACACTTTTTAGAGGTAGCTCAGCGAGGCAATTCATTCTCTGCTGCTTAATATTTCCTTGCCTATAATCTGTTTCTTTAACCAGATCATAGCTGCTAATTAATCATCATAAAGTCATTATTCTTTAATATTCCCAACACTGTCTCAATGTAACGCATACAGTGACATGAAGAGTCTGTCACCTTCAGCATTTGCATAAACACCGAATGTGCTATTGAAAAGATGAAAACACTCCAACCATGATCGGTTTTAAAATAAGTTATACTATTTTGGGTTTTAAATAAAGCCTCAAATACAAATGTTACTGGGAATGTAGAGATGTTCATTTGGAGTGTCCCATGTTACTGGGGAAAGACTTGAGTTTTGTTAATAAAATAATTCAAGATTGGACTCAGAAGGAAGTTATAGAACAATTTTATTAGCATTTAAAAAACAACCAACAAAACAAAAACCCTGGGCAGGCAAGCTGTAATTCTCAGCAGCTGTCTGGAGGAGGAAGATGAGAAAGAGAGCAAACCCTTGCATTTGTCAACAACAGACGTGGAAAGGGTTAGGGGAGAGCAGCAGAGAATAAAAAAGAGAAATCCCGGAGTGTCCAGGAAAACGTGTCCAGGCACTGACAAGTATTCATAATAATAATAATAATAATAACGAAAAGTTAGCTTCTAAAGCAGGTAGGCTTAACCCAAGCACACAGCAGGGCTCTTTTAAGTGACTGCACAGGGGCAGGAATTCTGTGAAGGAAACATAAATTATTTCCTTAACTGAATAATTACTCTCCCCATCTTTCTAGTGTGGCTTAAAGTGAACCATTCTTTTCGAAGTGTGATGTCTTAGCCAGAGCCAACTGAGTTACCCTCTGTTTTGGAGACTGGAATGTTAGATTCCCACCCAGGCCATAGAAATAGCTTTCCCTTGATGGGTCACCATGGGGGACTGATCAAGGCTACAATGACATTCCCCTTCCTCACTTCGGAGATGGGGTTGAAATCGGGGAATAGATATAACTCATTTCAGCCTACAATCTAGGGTGTAATTCTGGAGCTGTTCAGAGGGACTGTGTCCATACTGGAGTTTCAGTCCCACTTGTACCCGTTGCTTACGGGCTGGGTGATTTCAGAGCAGTAATAAACTCCTCTCAGCCTCCTCTGGCCCAAGAAGCAAGGATGCTCCTGGAGACACTGCTTTTAGAGTTCTTGCCCCTAAACTGCCTAGCCAGTCTCCACCTCCTATCCCCATCACAAAGCAAACTGCATATTGCCTCTGGGAAATGTCTCTAGAAGCAAAAGTGAATGCCGTAGTGTAGTACTTTTCCACAGACTTTCACTTTTGATGTTATTAACAACCAACTGTGGAAAATAACAGCTATATTTATGTAAATATAAATGCTGCAAGAATTGAATATGAAAGGACAGCAAGTCCTACACGAGGAAGCATCAAATGAGAAAATTGCCTCTCCCAGCCCTGTTCCAATGTGGAGGCTGGCTATGGCATAGGGATAGGAAAGTCTTTCTGAACTCTGGATGTCCTTTCCCATTAAAGCTTAATGGGAAACACTAGGATTTGTATTCATTAAATGTTATGAAATTAAAAATTGTGCTTTGTTTCAAAAACCAGACCTTTCCACTAGAAAGAGTTATTTCATCACTTTTACTTCTGGGAGAATTGCTTGGCGCACAGTGAACAGAAATGAAAACATGAGACAGCAGATCTCCAAAGTGCTTGCAGCCTGAAAGGTCTGTAGGCATCTTTTATGTAATAAGTAATGGAATGGCTGGAAAACTGCCTTTATAAGCAGATGTTTGGGGCCAAAAAAAATGAAGGCATGTCAAGGCCTTTGCGAAATAGAGTAACATAAGGTAAAGCTGGGAAATAGTCGAGGCAAGTTTTTTTTTTTTTTAATATAATATAAAGCCACTTAGAGTATTTAATGAAGCCTTATTTAAACATATTAGACAACATGAACATTCACATTATTCTTCCTGGGCAATGTGGACTTGGGGAGAACTAAGTACTAAGCAGGGTGCCAAAGACTGTTCCAAACTGCATTGCTAGCCTGGGTGGCCCAAAGAGAAGTGTGGAGAGCCAATACTAGTCCTTTGCTTTCTACCAAGTTGAGTTTTTCTACAAGAATTTTCTAGAAGATTCTTGTTGCAGATTGTCAGTGAAAGTTTTACACCTGCTAGATAGTCGATTATAAATTATCATGTACCAAGAGCAGAAAGGAGTCATTTCTACTGTGAGAGAGGAAATAATTTGAGATTTACTTTCTTGAGTTGCCTGTAGCTGAGAAATGGAAGTGTATTTGAAGTATTTCTGTCAAATTTTTACTCAAATAAATGTTAGGTTAAGGGGAGTTACAAACAGTATGGAGGAAATTCACAACCAAGAGAGGGATAAGCTCAATGTTGGCTTTTAGAAGGTGACTTATTCCACAGTCTATAGCAGGTGAACAACTAGTAGGCCAGACTTCGTTTCTGAGAAGGGGAATATCCCAACAAGGGAAATACAAGTTTTAAACATCACTGTGGAATTCTGCAATTTCATGAAAGAGGAAAATCTGTTATGGTTCTATAAATTTAGTGGGTGCTCATAAAGATGGCCGCACACCATCTTGGCCCAAGGACAGAGAGTTCAAAGCTGTCAGCAAGTCACAAGACCTAAGGTCAAAGGTGTGGCTACAATGGGATGTTTGGCTGTCTTAGTCTAAATAACAACAGGCCTGAATCTGAGGTGTGGCTACTTCTGACTGTCAAGGCTAGGGAAGGAGAAATTAAATCTGAGGTATGGCTACTCCTGACCTCAAGGCTAGGGAACAAGAAGTTGGTTCTAAGGGTTACTGAACCCTTAGAATAAGTGAGGAAGAAAAGTCTGTTTGTTCTGGATACATGATACCATGTTCCCATTTTTTGGATAAGGTATATAAGAGTGGTGAGAAATAAACTTGTGGCATTTCAGTATTGACTGATCTGCCCTCCTGACTTTTATTCTGTCTCTGTCTTTTCTTTATCATCTATAGCTAGCTAGACTTTCCCTCATCCACACTCCCCCACTCAGTTACGGACTTGGGGCCTCTCGGCTGGCTCGGATTGCAGCCCCACAAAGACCACTCCCGACAAAATTTTAAACCATAAAGTAATCCAAATTACTTAGTCGTTTTCCCCTTGAAGCCCACAAGCCCCCAAATTGTTTGCATTAGAATTGTAATGCAATTTCTTTTCCTCTCAGAGTTTTAACATTCATTTATTGTGTTGTATGCTATGGCACGTATGCAGAGGGCAGAGGACAAGTTGCAGGAAATGTATGCTTTCCTTCCACCATGTGGTTTCTGGCCATCATACCCAGGACATCAGGCTTGGCAGCAGTGCCCTTACCTGCTGAGTCATTTTGGATACCCATGGAACAATTTTCTCCTCTACCTCCGTCAGCTCTCAAGTTTTGGCCAACTAGGTCTTGATCTGCATCATATTCATTAAATACCGTATGAAAAGTGATTTGCTTCAATGGTGCTGAAGATTGTGTTTCCACGCTGTTTCACGCTGTTCCAGTACTCCAACACCTTTTTGTCATCCTACCTTCAAGGACAGTTTGGAGCTGCTGTCTAGAGCCATTGAAGAACCGGGTGCTGAATCATTAATTTCATTTGTCAGATTCAGGCCAAACGTCTTTGAACTTCATCGCCAATGTTTCATTTTTTTTTTTTAAACACTCTTTTATTGTGGACCAGACACCTTTAAAGAAAAGATTTTCTGCATGATGGATGTTTGTCAGTGCACTTCTGTGAGAAGCTCAGATTGAACACATGTGAACATCCCCAACAATGAGATTAATGATTGGCAAATGGCAAGCTTTTCACAAATATTTGATTAAATCAACCTTCCCCAAACCAATAACTTCTAGTTATTTATTCATCCAAAGTTACTGGAACTACCGCGTTAGCGAATCTGCAATAGAAAAGTGTAAAAGATTTTTTTTTTTTAACCCCAGGGATCTTTAAATAAAACAATGCATCGGCCGTTTAAAAAATAAAAATAAATACCTCGTCCAAACCTAGCGCTCTATTTTGTATTTCTGCCCTAGGTTGGCCTCAGTTCCTCCCCAGGAGACGGGTTAAGGATGTGCTTGCTGCCCTTGAGTCTCCTTCCTTTGTAGTTTTTTTTTTGGCTTGCGCGGTTACGCTAGCCCCCGCGGCTGCGGAGCGCGCAGCGCGGCCACGCCCGGGAGCGCGCAGCTCCGGTATCCTGGCGGGCGGGGCCGACTCGGACGGTGGAGCCGCTCCTCACGCGGCGCCGCCCTCCTCCTCACCACCTCCCTCTGCGTGTGGTTTGTGGTATCCCTGGAGGGGCAGAAGGTGTCCTCCCGGGGTAGTCCAGGCCCTGACAGGCGGACAGGCGGCCGAGAGCGCGGATGCCCGCGGGCGTGCGCGCGTGGGAGGCGGCTGCGCTCTTCCCGCTGGGGCCCAGCGCGGCCTGAGGATCCCGGGTCAGCCGGGACGCTCCCTGGTCGTGGACTGGACCTGGGCGCGTGCGAGGCGGCGGCGGGACCCCGGGACCCCAGGCCGCGGGACACAGCCCCGAGGCGCCTCGCCCACGCTCGCGCCCCTCCCCCGCCTCCGCTTCCTTCCTCGGTTCAGCGCGCCGGAGAGCGAGCGCGGGCCCGGACGCGAACCCGGGCAAGCCTCGGGCAGTTCAACTTGGCGGCTCCGGGCCCGCTGCCCGCGCGCTAGTTGTGAGGCGTGGCCGGGCGAAGGAGGCGCTTTGGGGGGCGTGGGGCTCCCCAGCTGGCGGCGGCGACCGAGAGGGCGCGCCGGACAATGAGCTGGGCAGCTGCGCGCTGCGGCTGAGCGGGCCCACCTGCGAGCATGGCCCGAATGCCCGAGCCAGGTGTCCCGCGGCTTTAAGGCCGGAGCGTCCAGATCGCGGCGCGCTGCGGCCAGGGCGGCTGGGACGTTCCTTTATTAATTGGTTTATTTGTGGAGCGCTCTCTCTGAACAGCCGCGATGGCCAGCACCAGGAGCATTGAGCTGGAGCATTTTGAAGAACGGGACAAAAGGCCGCGGCCAGGGTCGCGGAGAGGGGCTCCCAGCTCCTCCGGGGGCAGCAGCATCTCTGGCCCCAAGGGCAATGGGCTCATCCCCAGCCCTGCGCACAGTGCTCACTGCAGCTTTTACCGCACGCGGACCTTGCAGGCCCTCAGCTCGGAGAAGAAGGCCAAGAAGGCGCGCTTCTACCGGAATGGGGACCGTTACTTCAAAGGCCTGGTCTTTGCCATCTCCAACGACCGCTTCCGTTCCTTCGATGCGCTCCTCATGGAGCTCACCCGCTCGCTGTCAGACAATGTGAACCTGCCCCAGGGCGTCCGCACAATCTACACCATAGATGGCAGTCGGAAGGTCACCAGCCTGGACGAGCTGCTGGAAGGTAGGAGGGGCGGGCAAGGCGCGGCAGGTGCGGCCCCATGCACAGCAGCAGGTGCAGTGGCTGCGGGCCGCACGCTTCCCAGTCCAGCGCCCGGCAGCCTGCCCGGCGCTTGCTTAGGCAGCCACGGGGATTGTCTGCTCCTCTGTAGTTTGTGTTGGGCTGGGGTGCACACATCTCTCTCTTTCCCAAGAGACTTGCCTTTTTAAAAGAAAGAAAATCCGAATGAGTAGAGACAAATACAGACAATGACACCTATACATTTAGCCAACTTATTTTTGCCAGAAGGGCGAACTGTTTGAAAGCATGGTCTCCCACCCATGGTGGAGCCCAGTGCAGCACTTGCGCTGTCCCCCTGTTCGGGGTCCCTTTCTACCTTCTGTGCACAGCTGTGGTTCTGACATCCTCTAGGTTGGCTTTTCTGGTTTTGCTTGTGGCAGAAGTCATTTGAAATCAAGAGGGACGTTCCAACATAGCGGGTCTCAACCTTGGCTTCATCTTGGACCTTACTGGGGCCTTTTAAAAATATGGGTGTCTGGTTCCATACCTTAGATATTATGATGTGCTTGGTTTCAGGTATGACTTGGGATTTAGAGTTTTGAAAGTTTCTCAGGTGATTTCAATGGAAAACTATCCGCACTTAAAGGATTTTCCACATCTGGTCAGCAATGAAGTGAATCCAGGTGAATCTCTCCTGCCTTCTCCCGGAAGAGAGTAACTAGGATCTAGGGAACCAACAGCAGAGGCCTATTAGAAATTGGTAATCTTGGCACACCAAACATGCATCACTCAGAAGAACAGCTTGGCAATATGTTGGGTCATTCTTGAGTTCCTGCAATATTTACTCTTATTTGCTTTCAGGAAGGGAGCGCGACTGGTAGTTATAAACCTGATTTTTGGTTCTAAACCGCACCAGAAAGATCTGGCAGAATCCCCCAGTGTGTGGGGACTGAGTGTTTACATGTAATTACTCAGACATCCTTCTTAATGCAAATAGGGCATTCTATGTAGTCATAGCAACAAGAGGGAGGAAACTGATCCCTGAACTATGCGATTTTCTTATTTCAGCATGAGCTTATGTTCTAAAGTCATTTTCTCCTTTTCACAGATGAGGAAACCTAAGCAGCATGAATGCTAGCTTCTAATAGGCCTCAGTATATGCTTTTTCATTTGAGTTCACCTCTAAAAAAATAAGCTAGCCATTCCGAGGAGTCCTCAAAGTAACTGTTACTTTTATCAAATACTACCCTTGCTCTGCCTACATGACAACCCAATTAAAATTAAGCTGTCTTCTTGTGTGTAAGTTAGTTGTAGGAGGAGCTACCTCACACCTTGCCTAGTGGTGAGTTTTGGTTTTAAAGCCTAAAAGACAAGGGCAAGAAATCTGTAGGTATGCCAGTAAAATGAAGATAACATCATTGAGAGGACCACATCACTTGTTTGTTTGGTTTTTTAAGATAAGGTCTCAATAGGTAGCTTTGGCTATTCTGGAACTCACGATGTAGACCAGGCTGGCCTTGAACTCACAGAGATCCACCTGCCTCCAGTTTTCTGAAAACTGATCCTGAAACCAATTTTTTGTATGACCCTCCCCCACATCAAAGCAGCAACCCAGTGAAAGGCTCAACACTGCCTGTTGAATAAGGACTTGTCACTCACAGGTGCTTACCATGATGTACCTATTCTACCTTCAGAGGGGTAATAATTTTACTGTCCTCTGAAGTTATTTTGACAAGGTATTGTTAAGTAAAATTAAAGTACTTCAGCGATGACTGCTGTCATCAGAGGGATGAGAGCACTTTCTGGATTAGTATAAAAACACATGTTATGTATCAAGTCCTAGGGGATAGATAGGTGGCCTTACAAGTGGCTTCATGTACAAAAAGGTGGTTGGGAAATTTCCTTGAAGTCTTCATTACTGATATTTGGAGAATGTAGATTTGGGCAAACACTAACTACACATATAGCCTGAACAGTCACACCACATTGTAAAATAATGGTCAACAATGGTTTCTGTGTCTTTGTTGACTTGGTCCAAGCAGTTTTCATAATACAAAATGACTGTAAAAGAAGAAATTTGACTTTTTTGATTATAGTAGAAGTCTGTCTAATAGTGGATCCTTCTGTAATAATTGAAATTTTTAGTTGAGCAATGTGCCTGTGATCCCAGAACTCTGGAGGTATAGGCTGCTGGAGGGTCATCAGCCAGGGAGAGGAAGTGAGAAGTTGTCTTATCATTGAGCCATCTCCTTTTTTTTTTTTTTAATTTAAAGAGTGTTATGCAAGTATGGGGAACAGAATTTGCACCCTAGAACCTACATAGATGCTGGTGGATGTGGAGGCTTGCCTGTAATTCTAGCTTTGTGAGACAGTCAGGGGATCCCTAGAGTCTGCTGACTGCTGAGACTAGCTGTAACAGTAAGCACAAGGTTTAATGGAGAGAACCCCCCTCACATCCTAATTAAGGTGAAAGAGTGATTGAGGATAAGTCTGGCATCAACTTCAGTCTACCATATGCATGCACACAGTCATACACACGCATGTCTCTACATGTGTGCCTACACATATACAAACATGCATATACTCATATGAAGTTTCAGGTTGCAGTTAATCATATGCTCAAATGTTGAGAATTATCCTGCTGAACCAGGCAGCTTTCTGAAGTTATTGACATCAATAAGAGTTTGTATGTTGTCAAACAACTCTACTTCATGTGAGTCGGTTGTTAAAAAAACATACTTCACTTCTTTTACCTCTCCCATGCTAGCAAACACACTTTAGGAGGTGATTAAAACATAACCAGTATTGTCTTCAATGAAGGCTAGAGAGCTTGACCCAAGACAGCAAGGCTGTCCTAGCCACCATCCCATTGAACTTAGATGACAAAAGAAATTTGCATGGCCCAGATTTCTTTTCTCCTGCCCTTGACCTTGAAAGTCTCTGGAGAACAAAGCTGATCTGTAGAACAGCATTCCTTCAGCGTGGTTCCTAAGCTAGCTAGTTGATTTACCCAGCATTCTGGATTAATTTTGGGGAGTGGGCAGTATGGGTTCCTGTAATCATGGCTGTCCATTGCAGCTGTTGTAGGACTGAATCTCCCAACAGTTAAGTGGCTGAGCTGGACAAGCTTGGAGTATCTCTAAAGGTCCATTGGGGGATGTCCAGATCAGGGTTTTTAGTACATTTTCCACTTGTCATCCTCTTTTGCCGAACACAAGTTGTACATAACCTGCTTATAGGTATATAAAATGATATGACACTTACTGAAAATAAATGAAGAAATTTATCTTATTTTGTATTTAAATTTTGTTTTGTTATCTTTGTTTATGTGTATATGTGTGAGCATGCATGCCATCTTGAGCATTGCGTGCCACCTTGAGGACAGAGGGAAACGTTAGAAGTCTGTTCTCTCTGGGGTCATATGTAGGTCATCAGGGTTGGCAGCAGACTGAGGCAATCTGGTTGTACCCGAGACATTTATTTTTGTCTATATGTATGTGTGTGTGCTGATGTGACTTTGTTTACTAGGTGTATGCAGGCACCCATGGAGGTCAGGGGGTTCCTGGAACTGGAATTACAGGCGGTTGGGACCCTACCTATGTAGTCTTATTAGTACCCTCTTGGATCTGTTCTCTACAGTAGACTGAGCAGTCTAAAGGCAGGGGTCTTAGATACTCAGTAAATGCATTGACTCAGAAATAGTTTTAATACTTTGTCCTAGGACATTTTATATAAATAAGTGTTGATATTGGTTGATTGGCTCTAGATAGTTCTAAAAATATATATTTTGAAAAATTGGAGTCTATTTTAGCTAATGAAATATTTCATAGTCAGGGGAAACAATATCATTGCAAACTTGCCCACCTCCGAGATAGTTTCTCTGTGTAGCTTTGTAGACCAGGCTGGCCTCGAACTCACAGAGATCCACCTGCCATAAAGGTGTGTACCAACACTGCCTGGCTTACTTTTTTTTTTAATGCCTCTTATATACTACTTTCTGTGAATCTCACTGCCCTCTTCCTCCTCAAGTATGAAAAGCAGATATGCCATATACCTCTTCATAATAAATTCTTTGCAGAAGAATAATTTTGAGTTTAAAAATTTGAATAAAATATTAGGGGAAGAAAATGAGTATTTGGGAGAGCAGTTGTGAGATTGGAGTATAATACAGTAATATCCTGGGAGTTAAAAGACTAGGGCAGTATTTCATGAGGTTTTAAGCCACGGACATGGGTATTTTATGGTCATGCTATATGGAATAAAGAGACTTAGGTCTCTCTGCCAGTGATTAAGCTACTTTCTTCAGTATTCACAGGCCCATGTAACCACTAACTTTTATCCTTTTTACTGGTAAATAAGCCACCACCATGAGGATTAGAGATCTGCTTCTGCTTACCATTGTCATCATTTACTAAATGTTTTAGTTGTAGTTACTGAGTGAGACATTTTGCTTGGTTCATTTCCTCTTAACCACTTACAATATCTGGTGAGAGACATGGCTGCTTTGTCCTCTGTACTGTACAGCCAGGAAAAGGAGGCTCAGAGAGGATGAAGAAATGGCTGTTTAGCCTAGTGGTGAGAGGTGGGCATGACACCCGGGGCCTTTAAACATCCCTCACTCCAGTTCTGGGAAAGCACATGCTAGGCAAGCAGAGGTCTGCATTCCTGGTTTCTTAGAACTTGGCATTCCTAGAGCTGCTTTGCTCCACTGTACACTGAGACGTGGCTGGTGATATGAGGGTAAAGCCCTTCTAGGCAGGACTGCTGTCTGCTTCTGCCATAGGAAGCTGCTGCAGGAGTTGCCATTTGTGATCACTAGATGCTCAGCCTCCAGAGCCATGAGAAAATTATTCCTGTTTTTATCAGCCACCTAGTGAGAGTTAATATTGATTATCAACTTGACAAAATCTAAAAATCAGCCGGAGACAAACCTCTGGGCATGTCTGTGAGGGAGGCTCTGGATTCTCCGGGAAGACCTGCCCTCAGTGTAGGTGGCTCTGGGA